CCAATTCACCGTATGGTTTTTTTTTTTTTTTTGACCGACAAGGAGCTCGCCAGCATGGGCGGCAACACGATGCATGTGCAGATTGTAGCCGTGGCAATGAAGTTTGCGCTTGCGTTGGTAAACTGGAGCCTGCCCAAAGCTTCCCGGCCGACAGCCTTGTGCAGCACCGTTGCTGCGCCAAGCATAACTGCTTCAGTTGTGCTCGGCGCCGCAGCGAAATGCCGCAAGCGCCATGGCAAGCCACGGAAGGCTCCCAAGGCGCGAAAGGCTGCATCGGCGCAGAAGCCTCCAAAGGCACCAAAGGCTCCAAAGGCTCAGAAGGCTGAAGGCATGTCAGATTTGGCAAAGCGTTGGCAGAAAGTCTTGAGACCGCAGGCAGCAAAGAAGTGCTCGAGGAAGGGTGCCACGGCCACATTGGCGTCCCGTCTTGCCCATCGCTGGGCAAAGTAGTAGTCATTAATTCATCATATTATGACGGAGAATGGCATGCGTTTTCTAATTTGGCCACTCGGAGTTGGCATCATAGACTGACTTAGGTGAGGCCGGGTGCAAAATTCGGGAAAGCCTGCTCCGAGCAGTACAGATTATTTGGACTGGGTCACCCTGCCGCCTCCCAGTGAAACAAACCGCCGCAGTGTGCATAGGAGTTCGCAGTGTTGTGCCATTCGGGCTGCTTGACTCGGGGTAATACCCTCACGTCTGCCAGGCAGCTGCTCGCTGTCGGATCGAACGGGAAGCTGGAGGCGCGGTTCTCGGGTTAGTCGGAGTCGGTGGGACCAGTTGCAGAGTCTGATTCAGTTCCAGTCTTAGCACGGTTGCCACGGTTGCGTTTGCTTGTCATCGTAAGTGCTGCGCGGTCGCTTCAGGCTCCCAGGCTCAGGGCTCCAAGGCCCCCAGGATTTCAATGCCAGTGGGTAGCCGCACCCTGCGTGGTCTTGCCGCTCGGTTCGGACTACGCTCCCGGAAGCAGGACCGGACGCCGGCAAAAAAAAAGACGAGGTCCACAAGGATCCGTGCCTGCGGCCCCGAAGAAGCTTCGGCTCGAGTCCGGCGAAGGCCTGGCTCAGGAGGGCGACGACGACACCGGAAAGGGAGGTGGCGATGTTGGTCTCGCGACTGAGAGCGATGCAGAGCATTTGGCTCGCCATCGTGGTGGCGACGAGAAATGCAGCAGATGCAAGCTGCCCGGTTCAGAAACCCTAATTTTAATTTAAATTATTATTTAATTTATTATTTAATTTTAATATTTAAAGAAATTTAAATCATAAATGGTCTTATTATTAATAGGGTTTCTGAACCGGGCAACTAGACATACTACATACATACATACTTACATGCCTGCCATGCATGCATACACATTACATGTCAATCTATTTTTTCATTTTGGTTATTTATCATCTTGCTGTCGTGTTTCTCTCTCTCCCTCTCTCGGTGGCTCTCTCTCTCTCTCTCTCTCTCTCCGTCGCTCTCTCTCTCTCTCTCTCTCTGTCTCTCTCTCTCTCTCTCTTTCTCTCGTTCTCTCTCTATCTCTCTCGCTCTCTCTCTCTCACTCTCTCTCTCTCTCTCTCTCTCTCTCTCTCTTTCTCGTGCTCTCCGTCTCTCTCTCTCTCTCTCTTTCTCTTTTTCTCTCTCTCTCTCTCTCTCTCTCTCTCTATCTCTCTCTCTCTCTCTCTCTGTTGGATCGTTATTGTTTGTGGCAGACTTGCTACTTGACTATGTTGCAGTTGCTGGTTGGTTCTTGCTTCCGGCATTCTCGACTTGATCTCGTCCGTTTGCATACAATCCCAACATGTCAGTCAGGTTCCTTCGCTTCCAGGAAGTTTGGAGCAAAGCCGGAAGCCTCACCCACACGTCTTGGGGCAAGCAGCAGCGGACAGTTTGGCTGGGCCAGAGACCAGCTCGCCGAGGAGGCGATTGGGGCATCGGCTGTCACTTTTGTGCACACTTGATGAATGTTTTGGCACAGAACCCAGCAGAGCGGAAGAGGTTGCAGTCCGGCCGAATTGTGCAGTGTAGTGCGAGCGGATAGCCCCTTTGTGATCAAATTAAGGCTGACCGTGACCAGCCCAACTTTCGCAGCCCTAAATGCCTAAGGCTGGGCAGTCGCCTCTCTACCAAGTGGGTTGCCTATGAGGTCCGATCAAGGACCGCATCATGTTGTCGTTGTCAGCTGTGATTTAAGGCATCAGTCGCAGACTTTGGCAGGAGTGCGATGCAGGCATGCTGCATACACGCTCACAGCAAGACCTTCGTTCACCAGGTGGCCACGAAGGTTTACCTAGCTCCTGACACGCCGATCTCACAGTGCTTGCCTTACAGCATCAAGCATCAGCACCTCTTCTCCGGCAACGTTCCTCAGCCGGCAGATTGGCTGCGAGCGTGGCGGGCGTGCCGGACAGCATCTTCTTTCAAAGGTGCCGTGAAATTCTATTCCACGGAAGACTTCGCTGCTGGCAGGAACACGAAGCTTGACAGTGTGAGCCAGGATGCAGAACTTTAAAAGGCCTAAGGTTTCAGATTGTTGACATTTTATTTTGGCACATTTAAATTTAAAATTTGACAAATAATTTAATTAATCATCTGAGGTCTCAAGAACATGATTCGTGTTATGCACTGGGCTGTCAAGAGTGTTCGCAAGCAGCGTCTCGAACAAGCCACCAGCATCAGCTTGTCCGTGGACGACCGCAAGGAGTATCGTTTGGTGAGGTACCGTTGCGATGTTCCACCGCGCACTGCCAAGCAGTCAGCGGCGCCAGGCTCCCAAGGTCCCCAAGGCTCCCAAGGCTCCCAAGGCTCGGAGGATGGCCCGCTTGTCGCCGATGGCTTGCTTGGGGTCTACAAGACAGGTGCCAGTGTTCCTGAAAACACATTGTAGGAGCACGATGCGGACAAGAGTCAGGTGATGGCAGACAGCATAGGCATAGTCATTGACAGGGCCTGTCAGGATCCGGAAGGCAAAACTGACGAGGAGTCCTGCAGCCGCTTGAAGCTGCACGTGCGGCACTTTGCAGCCGATCAGTGCACATCTGCCCGGAAGTGTGGAAGGTTGTTGGTCACTGGCGGACAGTATCCTAACCTGGTCTGGGTAAGCCATGATCCTGCGCACCAGGTTCGTATTGCCTACCAGGACCCTCTTCACGCCATGCCCGAGTTCCAAGACCAGTGGGAGCGTTTGTTTGCTCCCGGCAAGAGCAAGCATGCGCTTATCCCGGACATCCAGAACTCAGAAGTCTGGAAGGCCAGGCTCATGGCGGCCCAGCAAGAGGTTCTCAGGCTCCATGGCTCCCAGGCTGGTGTGGAGAAGGTGATCCGAGCGTTGTCGTTCTCCCAACCTCGGTTTGACTCGTCGGCCACACCAATGCTGAAGTACTTGTGCATGATTCGTGCGATGGCGGTCTTATGTGCTATGCAGGCTGCTGACGAGTCTTGTCCTTATTTCAAACAAATTTTAAAATTATTAAATTTAATAATTATTATTTATTTTAATTTAATTATTGTGTATTAAATCTTAGTCTTAGTATGGATTGTATTAATGCATGTATGTGCGGATGTATGTATGTACGTAATTATTATTTAATAATTTAATAATAATAATAACTTAAATTAAATAAATATTAATGACAATGATTAATAACTATTTAATTAATTTTATAATATATTAACTTTTATTCAATAATAACTAAGTATGTAGTCTTAGTATTATGTATATGATATGTAGTATGTATGTATGTATGTATGTATGTATTAATGCATGGTAATTCACTTTCAATGTGTAGTATCTAAATTGAATTGTATGTATGTATGTATGTATGGCATGTACGTATGTATGTATGTATGTATGTAAGTATTATGTATGAGTATGTATGTATGCATGTATGTATGTAGTATGTATTATGTAAGTAAAGCATGGATGTAAGTATGTATGCATGTACGTATGTATGTAGGTATGTATGTGTGTATGTATGTAGTATGTATGTATGTATGTGTAGCGTTAAGAAATTTAAAGTATGTATGTGTGTATGTATTATGTATGTATGTATGTATGTTTGTATGTATGTATGTATGTATGTATGATACGTATGTATGTATGTATGTATGTATGTATTGTATTGGCATTGTATGTATGTATGTATGCATGTAGGTATTATTAGACATATTATTAACATAAAATGTACGTATGTATGTATGTATGTATTTATAGTATGTATGTATGTATGTATGTATGTATGATGTATGTATGTATGTATGTATAGCATTGTATGTATGTATGTATGTGTGTGTGTATGTATGTATGTATGTATGGCATGTATGTATGTATGTATGTATGTATGTATGTATGTATGTATTGTATGACTGAGTATGAACTAATTTAATTTAATATTAATAAATTATTTTAAACATTGAATGTTTGTATGTATGTGTGTATGTATCGTAGTATGTTATGTATGTATAGTATGTATGTTTGTATGTTTGTATGTATGTATGTATGTATGTAATTTAATGTATGTAAGTATTATGTATGTAGTATGTATGCATGTATGTATGTAATGTAATAGTATGTATGTACTCTACGCATGTATGTCATGTATGTTGAAATGTCCGTTGTATGACACACAGGAGAGAAACACGGTCGAGATTCGCTCCCGAGCAGAGCGCGCCTTGCAAAACATGAATGCAGCAGCCCTCATGCGCTGTGGACTCACTTGCGACTACACATCTGAGTGCCTGGGTTTCTTGAGCAGGAACTTTGACATTGAGGATCCAGATGTATCCTGCACCCCCAGAGTGCTGGAAGAGTTCACCAAGCGCCAGCGGTTCTTATTTGTGGATGGATACATCCTCTCCGACAGCTCGCAGGTTACCAGTTCCGTGGACGGCTCCGAGGCTCCAGGCTCCCAGGCTCCCAGGAGGTGTGCAACCCAGTTAGTTTACGAGGAGATCCAGACACCAGAGCCGCAACTACCCTGCAAGTTTGTCGTCGTCATAGAGGTTGTGTTCCAGTAGGCTTCGCTGGTATGCCCGCCGTGGCAAACCTAGGATCTTCTATGGCAACAGAGTCCACTACCTGTGCACGAAGGCCGGCATTTCTGATGTAAGGCAGCTCATGGGAACTATGGCGCACGTGGTCGAGGCGATGCTGGAGCGTTTGCGAGTAGATCTGACGGAGGATGAGATCGCCGTGGCTCTGCAGGTATTCAACCTTCGGCTGTGGCAGGAGACGAACCGACAACAGGAGCTAGTGGACTCTACACGCAAGCTCTGTGATATGCTCAAGCTTTCGCACGGTACAGCCGTGCTGTTTGGACGATTTGCTCGCAAATTGCATCCTCTTCTAGAAGCAGCTAAGTCAAAGGACCCAGGCTTCGGGAACAAACATGCGTGGTCTTGGTTGCTTCGGCCAGCGTGGCGTGCACGGCATGCACACAAACTTCCATGGACAGAGGATTGTCATGCCCTCATTGATTTCTTCTTGTCCTTGAAGATCAACACGACCACGCTGGAAAGGGATTTGGGACACTTGCTCACACAGCTGGAGGCGCATTCCGGACCCCTCACTCCAAATGGCTCAACCGTTGCCTCCATCCTCGAGGTGGCAGTTGAAGGTCCCCAGCGAGAGGAAGAATTTTTCCGGAAGCCGGAGAGCGAAGGTGCCGTGCTGACCCCAACTGACTTCGGGGTTCTTTGTGGTGAACTCAGAATTCGTCACTTTGGGCGTCGGTTCCGCATGACCTACAACAAAGAACGAAAGCAGGGGCCCAGCAAGCCACGCCAGGCACGTTCTGGAACTCTGGCTGCAATTGTCAGAGGCCGTGAAGCAGCCGCCGCCGAGGCAGCGAAGAGAGCAGAGGCAGCTGCTTCGAAATGCAGGTCGTGGAAGCCGGCCTCTTTCGTGCCGGGCTTGAGCCTGCCTTTGCCGGCAGCGTCTGCCTCTGCCCAGAACAGCGTTGCTGGCACACGTTGGGCTTTCGCCCGCCCCACACCAGATGCCCTCAAGCATTTGGAGAATTTCCGTGCACGCACACAGCAGAAATATGACGGTGACTCAGCAGCACAACGGTTGCTTTCCGTGCTAAGTCATTTGAAGTGTCATACACATTGTCATTGTCATCCAGCCAAGGTCACCAAGAGGAAGCGCGGAGACGATCCTCTGGCAAGATTGCTTACACAACAACGGCGGCACGGCTTGGCGGTTTGCATGGTGCAGCACGGCCACGAGAAGGATCGGTCATCCGTCTTGCAAAGCATCCTCCGCAAACGAGCTCTGAAGCTATGTCCGGTCTATCGTCGCTACACGGACAGCAAGTCGCTGCAAGGCAACAAGCATTTCCAGATTCTTGGACCGTACGAGTATGAATCCGCCGATATCCTGGTCCTCGAACAACTGTCCGATGTGGAGACGGTCCGCAGCGACCGACTGGTCCCAAGCTTTTAATTAAAATGTTTAAAAGTCGGATGATGCCAGGCTTAGATCGTCACTGCTGGTACACGTTGACGTGTTTCATCCCAGGTTCCTGCCTTGATCATTGCGTACGGCTGTGGCAAAGTGCTTGCCTCCAGGGAGGCGATTCTGGCATACTTGGACAATCCGACAATTGATGCGGAGAAGTCGTTCTTGTCCTTCAACACAGCTGCAACTTCGAGGCTGGTCGGCCTTGAGATCGCCAAGAGCTGTCAACTGTTGCTCGGTGGCACAGACACTGAGGTTCAAGGGTTTCGGGTTGAAGGGTTTATTGTCTAGGGTTGGGTTTGGGGTCATTTAAGTTCAATCAGTCAGGACCCGTGCCATCGTCGAGGCCCTGCGATTCTGTGAGAAGTTGCCCCAGTCGAAGTGGCGTGTTGCTATCGGCACACCACTGCACACTCAATTTGCTACCAAGAGGCGCACCACCTACAAGATCAATGGAGAGGCCGATATCTGGAATTTCCTCCGCACCGTCCGCGGGTTGTCCCAGAAGCGGACATTGTCCGGTGCTGGTGTACAGATGAGGCATTTGCCCCCCAAGAAACCCAAGAAAGTTCGTGCGTCATAGTCCTGTACTGCAGCAGTTAATGACAGTGCTCTCTGGCTCCTTGGCTCCTTGGCTCCCAGGTTCGCAGGCAGGAATTTTCCTGGGGTCGAATCATTTTAAGTCTAGTCGTTCGCACAGGAATGTACAGGGGGCCTGTGTCGCAAGGCAGGGTTAACCTTGTCTGGGGCAGCAGGTGCCTGCAACAGAGCCTGTTGCAAGCCCCTGCTCAATACACTGCAGATTGGTGCGAATCCGGGGCGTATTGGCAGGACAAAACGGCCTTGCAATTCACTTCCCCTGCAGTTGTTTAATTGCAGGACAATGGTAGGATGCAATACACCATGGATTGGTGCCAATCCCTGGTGTATTGACGTTCCCTTTGTCCCTTGCAATAGCCTTCCTCTTTCATTTCAATACAGGCAGGATTCGCGCCAATCGCCGCGGCGCTACATCCAAGGGTGTTTTGGGTGCATCCAAGGGTCCCGGCAGCTCTTGTTCCATGCATCCAAGGGTGTTTTGAGTGCATCCAAGGGTCACGTTAGCAGTGCCTTAATGATGAAAGAAGCACCTGTCACCCTTCAATGCACACGAATGACCCTTCAATGCACGCAAATGACCCTTCAATGCACATGTCACTTGTCACTGCATTGTCTGAGGCTGTTGTCGTCGACAAGCTGGACGTCGAGGGGCAGGCCCAAAGTCGTTTCATTTCAGTCATGGTTGGCTGTGTGGCTGAGTTGTAAGAACATGACAGTTGCATGCGACAGTGTGTTGTGTCAGTCTTGCCATGTCACTATCAGCATCTGATACGAGGCTTCTGCGGCAACAGGCTCCAAGGCTCCCTGGCTCACATAGGCTACTAGGTCCCAATGCCGCCTGCGAAAATGGCCGCAGCCGATGCTAAAGCAGCCGCCGCAGATATGGCACCCACCATCATCGCCGAGCCGGAGGAGAACCCAGTGATAGAGACTCAGTCTCAGAGATCTTGGTCGCGTCTCGGCTACTGTGCGCTGAGGGCAAGTGACTACGAGAAGAGTGTGGAGGCGGCTTCCGGGTTTGAGAAGGATTCCTATTACGAGTCACCGGAGATCGGCTTCCGTGCCTTGTTTCTGGCGACGAAACTGGACGCCATCACATGGCAGCGCAAGGAAGCCATGCGCAAGGTGGGGGCGGCCCCGTCTGCTGCAGACAAGCCTGTGAAGGCGAAGCTGCGCTCATCGCGCCGCCAGCTGACAGAAGCCATTGGGGAGACCCAGTTCGTGGTTCTCACACTGTTCACCAAGAAAAATCTGGCCGAAGAGTGCTCTGCAAGAGACATTGTGGTGGAGGATGGCGGCTACTATGTTCCGCTGTTCTCGGATCCTTGCCAGGAGCTGCCTTTCCACGACGAGGCGAACTGGAGCCTTGAATTCGAGTACATCGGACGCGAGGAAGTCTTTTCATTTATTGTTATTTAATTTTATATTAATTATAGGCTCAGGGGTTCAGAGGTTCAGGGGTTCAAGGGTTCAGGGGTTTAGGGGTTTAGGGGGCCAGGGTATTGCGTCCGATCAAGGCACGTCATGGTGCAGGCCACGACCAGCCGCGCCTGGCAGACCCTTGCACCCGGGCCCGACCTTGGAGGGGGTTTGGGCTTCATGTGCTACACGGCGGTCAAGTCGGAGGAAGGCGGCGGCGGCGGCGGCTTCGACATTAGCAAGGAGGACACATCTGCCCTCGTGAACTTCTTGGCCCGGAACCACGTGTTCGCTGCGCAGGGGGATCCGTTCCTTCCGGATCCCGGTGCATCCCTGTTCCCGGTTTCTTCGTCCACGCACGCAGCGGCCACGTTGGGTTTTTTTTGCCCTCAAGCAGCTCGACGTGGACATGCTCGAGTTCAGCTGCGAGGGCGTCATCAACCAGTCACCGCCGGTTCTCCATCCGATGGGGTACTTCTGGATGCTCAAGGGCAATGACCTGGCAGAGCGGATCCGCACCGGCAACTTGAAGGTACGCAGGTCCGGGATCGAGATGGTCATCGTGAGCATGAGCAACCCCAGGAAGCACTAAGACATTCTCCTTGAGGCTCAGCGCTCCAAGCTGGTGGAGCACAAACGGCGCTTGAAGGAACAGGTGGACGTCTCCAACAAGCAGCTCCGCCGCGACCAGGATGCCCTCGCTGCCGTTGATGCCCAGCTGAGGCGTCTCCCAGGCTCCTAGGCTCCCAGGCTCCAAGGTCCCTGTGGCGCCGGCTTGGTGTCGTCATGTTTAGATGACTCATCAGCAGCATAGTAGGATTTTGATGCTTCCTTACTTTGCTGCCAACTTGATTTAAATGGACATGTAAAGCTCAAGCCGCTCGTCGACAAACTGTGGCAGGGCCCACGACTACAAATGACCGCTGTCGACGTCAGTTTGTGTTTGTTTGCAGCATGTCCTGCACTGCAGCAGTCTTATTGCCTTGCGCTGCACCGCAAGACTCCAAACGGTTCCGTGGAAGGCTCCTCGGCTCCCAGGTTCCCAGGCTTCTGTACTCGCGCTCAATGGCAAAAGTGCCGGATTTGCCCACCGACCCAACCGTTCTGAGCTCAGCATTTTCGGAGCAGTATGACGTGTGTGATGATGATGTGTGGCACGACATGTGAAGCAGGCCAGTGCTCAAGAAGCCCTGGCAAACATCGTGCCATGGGCCCTTCGCTGAGTTCTTGATACCGTGTCCCGTCTCGCGGCTAACAGTGCTGCATGCCGTGCCTGCCCGAGGCCCGCAGCCAGCTCCCTCTGAAGTTTCCGCAGGCCAAGCAGATGTTCAAGACACCGCCGCTTGCCATCAACGCAGAAGCCAAGATGGGGTATTTGACCGGATACAAGGCGGGCGCATGTCGATCAATGTCATTTATTATTGTTTGACCGTTGTCGTTTGTCAGGCTGTGTGGAGCAAAGATGACTGCCAAGCGTCCCTGACATCATCTGGACTTTACGAAGCCAGTGGCCTCGCGCTGTGGCTGGCCACCGAAGCTTTTGCCAGTGCGTCTGAGGCTGTGTGCTGGCAGGATCTCCAAACTTTCGAAGACGCTTTCTTCTCCAAGAAAGTTGCTTTCAGCACAGTTGTATCGCGTGAAGCTGCCAAGAAGAAACAAAAAACGTCGCGAAACCGGCTGACGTGGCCTTGTGAGATGATTGTCCTCACGGAGTCAGCATCTGACGTGATTCACGAAGAGTTCAACAGCTCGTTGCATCTTGCTAGCGGCGTGTTTGTGTTGTGGGTTTGGTACTTGGCCGTCTTCAAAGCCCTAGTCTCCCAGGACAGTTGCTGCTTGTGTTCACATGACATGACATGTTATTGATTCATCTGACTGATGTGTGCTTGCACTTGGCAGGACAAAGAAGTTTTGGAGATTTTGTGGGAGTGTGGCTGCACTGTCACGATACAGGTTCGCTTGTGTTCCGGCGCAGGGGAGATTGCGAAGAGTCGCAATCTTGCTTCAGAGAAAGTCAAGGCACTCGGGCACCCTGGCCTGTCCGACACCTTTTGGACATTTGCAAAGACTGTCCAGCTGCTCAAGGTCGAAAAAGTCCAGGATGGTGAGGAACAGAACTTGAGGTACAACAACACCTTGTACAACAAAGCCTTACACCAGGCTGCCACAGCAGCTGTTGCAGTGCTGCGGGGTCCATCCGGTCCCGTGGAGAAGGCTGCCCGGAGATTGGAGCTGGAATTTGGGCGGGGCATCTTGAGCATTCAGTACTCGAAGTTGAGCAAGCTGTTATCGCTGACCAACAAGCTCGCATCTGCTACCAGAAACGCTGTAGACCTGACGGCCTGGATGATCGACTCCTTGACGCTGGCCCTGCGCATGAACATGGTCACGCCAGCTAAATGCACCGAGAAGTTTCTGGATCGAGGCCGGAAGACAGGCGATGCTGGCTTTTGGTTGTCGCGCATGCTGGTGGTGCAGGCATTGTAACTATTCTGACTAGCGTGTGTATTTTTTTTTTTGCGGAGTGTTGCAAGTCATCGGCAGCTTGAACACTGACAGAGGTCTTCGATTATGCAGCAAAGCTGGCGAACAAGTTGCCTGAGCCGGACAAGGTTAAGCTGACAGGGATTTTGGCTGAACTCCGTTGCCCTTTCACATGTTGGGAGAAATATCTCTGCCATGCTGATGCTGATCAAGGGGCTGCTGGAGAGGACGACATGGACGGCGAGGACCCAGAGGACGTGGAGCGCCCTGTTCCGCAGTCCAAGATTGGAGCTGTTAAAGAGGGTTTCAACAAGGCCATTGGCATGCTTTTGGATTTGCTGCTGGAGCTGATGTCGGGGAAGTACTACAAGGATTGCTGCATGCTGGCTTCGAGTGAAGATGGCCTTGCAAAGGCATTGACAGCTGCACAGCTTGGAAGCTCGGATGACACGGAGCACGAGGAGCCATGTGCGCTTATCACTCAGATGAAGATCATTGTCGACAAGTTCGACAACAGCACGAAGTCCGTTGGTGCCACATCTGCGGCTCCTGCTCCGAGTTTGCTCCAAAGCCTGGCCAAGGCTTCTGAAGCTGACACACCCGAGGAATGTGTAGAGCGTGAGCGGCAGTGGAAGGCGGTGCAAACGGAACGCCGCAAGTTCGTGTCGTTCTCGGTACCGAACAAGATCTCGAAGGACTGCCTAGTCAATGCGCTCAGAGGTTGCGGCAAGGTCTTCACGCACAAGGGCACCTTAAACTCTTCGCACCGCCTGATCGTTGCCAGTGCGGATCTCTTGGCAGAGGCTGGTACCGACCCGTGGCTCAAGGGCACTCCGCCAAGCGAGGAATGGAAAGAGATCTGTGCCTTTGCCAAAGACATGTCTGGGCCCGAGGATTTCGTCGTACTCTTCGACGGCAGAATGCGGGAAATTCGCCGCGTGTCCGAGTCTTGGCGGGGTGATGTGACAAGGCTCCCAGGCTCCAAGGCTCAAAGGCTGCACCTGGCTCTTTAAGGAAGACCTCCTGCTGAACCAGCAGCACACCGAGGAGTGCACCATCGTGTACTCAGGTGGGTGCCCGACGAGAACTGGTCGCACTCGCCGCGTTCCGCTGGCTGCAAAGAAGGTGGAGACAGGAGCGGTTAAGTTCCCGGTCGCACGCACCAAGATTCAGACGACGAAGAAGGGCTCCTTCACAGTCTGCGGCGAGGCTTCTACGTACCAAGGCACTTACTCAGGCGTGGAGTACAGTGCGGTTTCTGAAATGCCACTCGTGTCTGCAGACACCAAGAAGAAGATCATTGCTCCGGCAACAACCGGCGACCTCCCGACACCGCCAGAGGACTGGCAGGATCGCCACGGCTCCGACGTACCCTTGTTCTGGAACGAGTCTAAGCCGATAGCATATTGGAATGCCATCATTGAGGAGTTTTGCGCGGAGGCAGTGTTTGACCTCACGGCTGGCACCGGTGCTCTGATGGAGGCTTCTTTGACTGCCGGCATCGCATACCACGGGCTTTGCAGCACCCTTACTTGTCCAGTAGATTCGTCAGATCATTGTCATTTGATTTTATTTAAATTATCCGAGGCCTCAACAAGGAGCACATGTCGTGGGTCCAGGCGGTTGCTGATCGCGCAGCTTGCGGAATGATGGCTTTGGAGGGATCCACTCTTTACTCGGACGAGAATGCCAAGGCGGTGAAGAAGCATTTCCCGCACGTTCTGGAGAGCTTGTCCAACCAAGACGACCAGGACGAGGCACCTGCTGAGCCAGATTGCCCCCGCGATCAACCGCAGTGATGATGTTTCACTTCGACCGAATCCGCCAGCTCAGGCACCAGCTCAGGCACCTAGGCTCCCAGGTTCTCAGGCTCTTGACCTTTTGCCGGGCTCAGTTTTGTCAGTAGTGTGTAGCAGTTACTACTGTCGCCTGAAAAAGCCGAAATGCTCTTATTGTGGCATGACATTGAAATAGGACTCGCCGAGGATGTTGTTGTAGTCGCCTGAATGCATTAAAGCGAGCCGGTATGGCCCCAGGTTCCCAGGCTCTGAGGTTCCCTGCTTGGGTTCGACATGGGCTGCCGATGGAGGCCTACCAGACGCCTCTGGGGCAAAACCAGTCTCAAGACGGCTTCTCGTCGGATGCCCCGGGGGTGCCAGCATGGTGGCAGCAAATCGCAGCGCTTGCGGAAGCAGGCTGTGAAAGACGGCTTGGTCCCCAAGGCTCGAAGGGCCTTCGTCATCTGGTTCCAGGAAAACTCCGAAGTCAAGAAAGGCGCTCCCAAGCACGAGTTTCTCAATGAGATGAAGCATCTTGGCGCAGTATGGCAGGGCATGACCGACAAGCAGAAGGCACCATTCATGGCGAGGAGCAAAGATGAGTTCATGGCTCAGCGAAGTGCACTGGCCGTTCTTGGCATCAGTATGCGGGGCTCCACGACCAGTGCGGGCGGCCCCGACGAGGCGAAGGACCCCCCTGCCGCTGACGAATCTGGCGGTCGCGTTGGCCCATTTGAGCTTAATGCTGCAAGGGCTCCAATTGGAGGCGGAGCCTATGGCAGTGTCTACAGTTGCCAGCATCCGCAAAGCGGCCTTAACGTGGCGGTGGAGGTTTATCGTGGCTCCGATGGCCCCGCGGATTGCAGGCACGAAGTGGAGCAGATGAAGCTTCTAATGAAGGCCGTTCCGCAGCAGAAGATGATGTGGTTCCCGCCTCTTGTCAGCTCGGGTGTCACGGGCAGACCTTGGCCATGGATGGCTACTAGCCTATGTGGGCCCAGCCTGGCAACCGCACTTCGAAATCCTGCGGCGCATGGCAAGCCGAGGACGTGGTCTGTGGCAGCTCAGCTGAGAAGTGCACTGCAGACATTGCATGACGCAGGCATCCTACACTTGGATGTGAAACCTGGCAATGTTCTTTGGTGCCCTTGCACAGATCAGGTGCAGGTGTGCGACTTCGGCATGAGTGAGAACATGGCACGGCTCCAGAAGGCTTCTCAGGCTCCCAGGTTCCTGCAGTATGTCACGGCTGCCTATCGACCGCCGGAGCTGTGGCCCGCTCGTGTGAATGGCGATGGAGACTGCGGTGTCAGAAAGCAGCTGCTGACTGCAGCTGTGGATATGTGGGCCTATGCTTGCGTGGTGTTTGAGGTGGAGACCGGGAATCCCTTCATGCCCAGGGGGGAGGCCGGACTGAGAGCGTGGTGCAAGCAGTGGCCCGAGCTGTGGAAAACACGCAGCGACTTAGCCAATTGCCCCGCTGCAAGTCACACGTGCTGCACAAAGGTGCTTCGAGCCGGTAAATGGGGGCTGTTTGTGTTGGTCGGCTGTGCTCCAGACCCCGGAAAGCGGCGGGGGCCGGAGCTCTGTCTGAATCAGAAATGA